AATGGCTAGCTAAAGCTAATAATTATAACACGTAGACTGTCACGCGATATTTTTTAGCTTCGCCTATGAGCAACGATATTTCATTTTTGTAAAATGTTACATTAATTACGATCAATCGTTGTACAGCACTTTGTTCGTTTTATACTGTTCCCAGGTATTCGAAATTTGTTGGTTGATCGACTCAATCGTTACGAAATAACGTAAAAAGTCCTGTCATCGATGAATACTGTCGCGAATATCGGTGAATGTAAACGTGTTTGTGATAAATCGAACGCTATGGGCTTTCATAAACGCTTTATGCTCGATGCACCGCTTGAACGAAAACGTATAAATTAAAAATGCCTGTTAAAACATTGACAGCTTACCAAGCTATCAAAATCTGTCGAATCTTTCAAGACTTTCGAGCTTATCGATACTTGCGGTACTTATCGAAACTTTCAAGAGTTAGAATCACGTTCGCAGTGATTCGAATTTTTCCTCGCACCTAAACGATATTCCAAGTGTTTCAGATTCCATCGCTGACTGGATACTCGAGCCTCAGCATGTTCCAGGCGAAAAATCGTCTACGAGAAAGAAAGAAGAGGAAGGGAGACACGGAGAATCGAGGAGCAGCAGAAAAGAACGGAGCCCGCGTCGCCTGGACAAAGAATAAGGGGATTAGTTTTAATTGGAACTAACGCGGCTAGATTCTTGTAAAAATCGTGGATAATATTTGCATTTATCCACGGTAACGATACCCGTTAGAAACTCGCTGCAATTTTTACAATGACTTAAACAATGGCAGTTACTTTTAATTTCACGCGCATTTTCGTTGTCTTCTTTCTTTCTTCTTTCTTCTTTTTTTTATGTGTGTGTAACGGGATCAGAGATTTTTAGGTTTCGTTCGTTTCAAATCTTCTCGTACTTGTCTGGAGCGGTGTTATTATCTGAAAATTATATGTAGCCGAGTAGTAACGTGCAGGAAAAGTAACATGCATAGGAAAAGTGAGGAAATGAACGAAGGGGATGATCGTGTTAGCGTGTTGCGTCTGGGACGTAAGAATGTGGCACGAGACGATGTCAAATTGCGTCTCGTTAAGTTGTATGCGCGAATGCTCGTGTTGTGTTTTAACTACGTCCACGACCAGCGTGAAGAATTAATCCTACGATCGATTAAACGTGGTAGAATTGACAAATAAATATGAAATTATAAAATGAGATAACAAAGAATTCTCTGGATAATTTTGTGATCTATCGTAACTTTATGATCAATTTCTATCTTCTCAAGTGAAAAGATAGACGTAAAATGAAACGAAAATAATTTAACCAATTGACATCAAAGGATTGCACATCTGAGAGCGCGTCTGTGACTTTTCGCTGCAGCATCCGATGCAGAGTAACATCTGACCATCGCGCAACCTCGAACTGCCTTCCTTAGGGAGAGACACCTCGGGACGTGTTCAGAATTCGTCTCTGCCACTTCTCAACTCACGGAATAGATTCTGTTCCTTCTCTGTATTCGAAATTTGTAGCTCGATTCCAGCTACATATTTCGTGAAGTATTGCCGCACTTAAGATTCCCTGGGTCGTTACAATCAATCGCATTACCTATTTAGAATATTATAAATAAAATATCAGTTTGAAGCATAGTGGTAAGTTAAGTATTGTATAAAAGCACAGACTGTTCTATCTACCAAAATTAAGGGACAATTTATTATCCGTCATTAACCCGGAATAAGTGGTGCGTGAAATATGCAAATGCTATTCCACGTGTATTCCGCGTTTATGTTTATTCATAGAGTTCTCAACAGTTCTTACTTTACGAGAGAAAAAAGGGTGAATTACAGATGTACACCGGATACATTTCATTCTCTGTGCCTAGTCCAACAAAAGATCCATTGGGTGACACGTTTCATCATTTGGGAAAAATAAAGACCCTTGTGTAAAAAATTAGAATTTATTCTTATATTCATAATAAATTAAATATTATAATACGTTAATTAATTCTAAGCCAATTCTTTTGCGGTCAACATCTACTGAAAGTACTTTCACCTCTACACGCTGACCTATCGAAACTACCGAATTCTTTAACCATTTCGTTGGTATAAGCCCGTCTCTACCCGCTCCTATATCCACAAACACTCCAAAGTGTGTAATGTTTCGTATCGCACCCGTGACTGTTATCCCCGCGCTCAAATCATTAATACTGAGCAAACTCTTTCGAAAAAGAGGAGTACGAGTCTTTAATCGTATATCCTCGTCCTTCTTCATAGATAAGCCTTTGACTATCACCTCCATAGTCGTCTCGTTAGTATCAAGCTTCCGGGCCAGACCAACGAGCCCTTCGTCAGCACACGATTTTACTTTTTCGATGAACTCCGTAGTTCCGAAATTCTCCAAGTTACAATTGCAATATTTCAAGAAACGTTCGGCTATTTTATACGATTCAGGATGGATCCAAGATTGATCTAATAAGTTATATGTCTGCTTAGACTTCTTAGCAGGCTTGCGTTTCTCAGAATTATCATTCATTGAAGTCTCTGGCAATATCCTAATGAAGCCAGCACATTGTTCGAACACCTTGTTCCCAATTCCTTTCACATCCAGTAATTGTTGCCTATTTTTAAACGGTCCAAATTCGGATCTCCATTCTATAATGTTGTTTGCCCTGGATGCATTCAAACCTGCAACTCTTCTTAAAAGACACTGAGATGCAGTGTTCACATCCACGCCTACAAAGCTCACAACCTCTGAAACAACCTGTAGTCATTTTTATAGTTGTTATTGAATTTGTCAATTAATTACTTCATCTTGAATCTTAAAGCTATTGGATTTTATATTCACCTCGTTTAATGCCGCTAACAATTGCTTCTCTGGTAGATCATGCTGATACATTCCCACACCTAAATGTTTAGGTTCTACTTTTACTAATTCAGCGAGTGGATCTTGTAGACGTCTCGCTATAGAAATAGCAGAGATTAAATTCGTGTCGAGGTCCGGGAACTCGGATTTTGCTTCGGGACCACAGCTGTAAATCGATGCTCCGGCTTCGTCAACTATCGTGTACGAAACCTCGATCGATCCGAATGCATTGGACTTAATTAACTTGTTTAGAAACATTTCAGTTTCTCTACAAGCTGTAGCATTGCCCAACGCTAAAATTGTGGCCTTATATTTCGTCACTAAAGCTACCAAAACATCGGCTGATTCATTGTAAGATTTTTTCCCCTTTGTGTGTGGATAAATTACATCTGTTTCAAGTACATCACCCTGTTCAGAGATTACCGCTAATTTACAACCGTGCGAAAATCCTGGATCTATAGCAAGTATGATCTTTCCTCGTACAGGTGGAGTAAGAAGCAACTGTTTAACGTTAGTTACGAAAACTTCTATAGATGCTGTCTCTGCTTTTTGTTTCATTTCGCTTCTCACTCTACGTACTACTAAGGGTTTTATCAGCTTTGTATAAGCATAGTTAATACTGTCGTTTAATAATTTAGAATGTAATTTAGATGCTGTGATAGCTGCGTTATATTGTTTATAACAGTGTGCTTTAAATCCATTTTCGAAAAAGTCAGGAATGGTCATTTTTACAGTAAGAAATTTTTGCGCTTCCCCACGATTAATAGCCAATATCTGATGAGGTTTAATGTATTTTGTGTTTGCACTAAAGTCATAATACGTTTCATACTTTCTCTGAGCATCCTTTTCTTTACTATCTTCAGATTTACTATTGGTTTTACATTCTGTAATCTGGATTTTTATCGCAGATTTGCTTTGAAGCTCTTTGACTTTATCGAATACAGTTTTATTCTTATTTATAATATCTGCTATAATATGTACAATTCCATCCATAATCTGTTGCTCAGTTTTTAATCCATCTTTAGTGGAATCGATAAAAGAAGATAATGGAGGTAGTGCCTGACCCTGTAACACAAAATCACTTACAGATCCCAAACCTAGCTCTTTTGCTCTTTCTGCTAAAGTTCGCTTAGATGCCGGCTTAAAAAAAGAATATATATGTTCTAAGTCGTCTAAAGATTTGGCAGATACAACAGCAGAATGCATAGCAGGAGACCACTGTCCTAATTTATCAATAGACTTCAATATAGTATTAGCACGTTGTTTGATAACTTTAGCATGATCAAGACTTTCTTTCAGTGCTCTTAGCTTATCTGGCTCCATGCCACCAGTCATATCCCTCCTATATCTTGCAATAAATGGGATTGTATTGTCATTATTAAAAAGCTTTATAACATTTTCTACTATATGTTGTTCAATATTGTTCACTTCGCTAACATAATCTTCAACAGTCCATTCTTTCAATTCTGTAGATTTTAAAGATATATCTTTTAATATTTGTTTAATATTTCCTGCATCAGAATTTTGTAGTTCTTCTTTTTTCATCTTTGCATTTTTATTTTGTGTCTTTTTATTCAAATCTACTGATTCATTTGTGTTATCTATAAGTTCTGTTTTTATTCTTTTTCTTCCAAGTTTTGTTACTATTTGTTTACTATTTTTACTTAATGAAACGGTTCTCTTGGTACTATTTGTAATTGTCTTCCTCTTTTTCTGAGGTGCTTTCGTGGGAACATAATTTTCATCATTTGAAACATCTGCAGGTTCACTCTCAGAATCACTTGAAGAAATAATTATTTTACTTGCTCGAGACACTTGTCGTATGCTCCTTTTCATTGTAGCGTTTTTTACAAGTAAAGTACAAATATCTAAACTACTTAAAAAAATGAAGATTCGTCCATAACCTTCGTTAATTATAAATTAAAAAATTCTAGGTTAATTATTAAATGTACAAAACATATTTATACACATATATGTCATATAATTTCTTTTAATCTCTTACTTAACTACGAATAAGATTGTCATAAAAAACTAGAAAATTGCTGTAACTCTACTTAATAATCATAATAATCAATAGAATTTTCCGAACAAGTTCAAGTACATCTTCCGACTAACCTTTGAAAATGTGCCTTAAGTTAAGGCGCTTGACGAGTTCGTGTAATCGGAAAATTCTCAATATTTTTCGAGATTATACAAAAATTACGGATGAGATTATGAAATTATAATGAATAACTTTTGTAATTTTTCAATTATTATATTTCATACAGATTTAGTATAAGATTTCTTCATATATTTCAGGTGATTTTGCTTTACATACGTAGCTAAAATCTTCATATTTATAAAAATTTGATAATTATTTTTTTTTTAAGGTACTTTACTTAATAATGATTTGTCTCAAAGGACGATTTACGCTTCTGTAATATTAAAAACATAGGAATTAAAATAAACATAATAATGTGCAATAATGCCGGAATACAGCTACGTATTTTGATATTGTAAATTTTTATACGATTCAAATATATAAACAATATATTATGGCAGAAAAATTTCGATCGTTCATCAAAGTATTAAACAACGAAATAAATAAACATCAACTGTTTAATGCAACTACAAGAATTAGTAGCGTCACTGGAAGGGCACAAGAAAAGTTGAACAATATACAAAGTGCAGTTGCTGCAAAGTATGATGTTCTTGCAAAGGTATTACATTTCATCTATTCATCAATAAATATAAAAAATTATAATGTACGTATGTTTAAATATAAATCATTTAAATTTATTTACTCCAGCAAATCAGTAATGATTTAACAATAATTCAAAATGTAAATGGACCACAATTAGCACCAAGTCCATTACCAAAGAAAGTTGTAAAATGGTGGCAATGGTATCAACAAATAACAGGTTTGGACAAGGTTGAAATAGCCAAACAACAAGTGATCTTTGCGCAAGACAAGTTGTTCAAATGTCAAGATGAGAGGAGACAATTGAATCGTGAAGCAATGTTAATAAATGATAAATTAAAGGAAGTATATTCAGAACTTATTCAAATTAAGAGGGATGATCCAAAGTATGTACAATTGACAATAGTGGAAAACAAAAATCTTCAAGATCAAACAAAGATTATGACGGAGCTTAATTTGTTAGAGAAAGAGGAAAAAGAACATTTCACATTATTAGCAACAGCTATTAAAGAATATCATGATAGTCAAACAATGAATGCTCAAAAGCATAAATACTTATCTATTGTTGCATCTGCTCTATTAGCAATCATATCATTGGTAGCTTCGATAATATATAACAATATAAGGGTAGCAAATATTCAAAACATTCTATCTGAAGCACAAGAAAAGAATGAAAATGTGCTCAGAAATAGTTTTCTATCATTAGAAAATAGTTTAAATACAATTCGTAAAACAATAGAAAAAAATAGTGAACCAAAAGTAGTCACGGTTAATGAAGAATTAGATAATAGTAATATTACAGAATTGCAAAGAGCTTGTGTTGTATTTGGGGCATGTATTGTTGGCATATATATACTGAGATCGGTAATTGGTTAAAGGTTACTTTTCAATTCATAGTAATAAGTTTATTTTAAATAATTTTTTAGTAACAGAGATTTATTCGTTTATCAATGTTTTATAAATAAATGTATAATACATGTATATAATTATATAATGAAATAAAAAATACATTAATATATGCATTTAATTTGATATATTGTATGACGTTTTGTAGTATTTTGTTATCATGTTATTTAGTTGCATTGTTTTTTGTATAAGAAACCAAGGCTATACTTTTCTCAGAAAAATACACATATATATTTGATAAACTGAGCAAATACAATGTGATATTTTTATATGGACAATCGTTTAACTAATTTTTATCTGCAATAAATGATTTCATTAAAAATAAAATGAAATTGTTATGTGTCAAATATTAAGCAATTTAAATTTTAATTATCTGAATTATTTTATGTATTCCAGGATTTCCATTCCATACCATCTGGTAGCTTTACTTCAACTTTTCCTTTGCTCACTTCTGACCAATTTGTGCTTAACACTGTACCACCAGACTCTTGCTATATATGTAGAAATATTACAGTGTTAAGATCAATACAACATATTTGTCAAACGCTTTTTGAAAAGAAATACTCACAAAAGATTTATTCATTGCACGTCTAACTTCATCAGATCCACTACCATATATCTGTTGGAATAAAGCATAGAGAGCAGCTTCTCCTATAGGCTTCTCTTCTGCTTCTTGTTTCTCAATCTCTTTCTCTACTTTATTCCAATCCCGTGTCTTTTTGGTAGTTCCAGGATTCTCTGGTGGTTGATTTCCAGCATGCAAAATTTCTTAAAAAATTTAAGTCATTTTAATATGACAATTCAAAGCAGGTTCTGTTTACATATAATATTTGGATCTTTGGTTTACCTTGAGGTATGGGTTGTACTGTATTTTGTGCAACAGGATTTCCTTCCAAAGCAGACCATGTAATTCCATCTTGTTTTTTCAATTTAATTTCTATTTTAGATGGATCAACTTTGTATGTGCATTGATCTGGTATTATTGCATGAGCTAAATCTAACTCCAAGCTATATTCATTGCCTGATGGTAACTGGGCAGACACACTCAACTAAGACCAAACAAAGAATAAAATATACAACTGATATTCAACAAAACGATAACTATTTTCACGTAAATATAACCGACAAAAATGCAAAATGCACTAGTTGAAAAAACATTATATACATCTTACACTTTCACAAATGTAATAATTACCGTATTCTTCTCATAAACAACTTTGACATTTTGTGCACTTTTCGCAAGAATCGGAACTATAACATGACTTTCTGTTTGATACCAATCGTGCCTTATTTTTGGAACTGGCATCTGTAAATGTTAAAAATTTTTATGTTACGTGTACAGTATTGATGTATTAACCACATTTCTTACTTCATCATTATTCACTGCTGTTGGAGTTTCTTCGTTACCCATTAGATCGATTCTTCTCTAAAATATCAAAGACAGACCATTAAGAAATTTAACACAACATTCACATATATCGTACTTCTCGAAAGTTCATATGAATACTATAGACAAGGAACATAATACAAAAGAGATGCTAATCATAAAAGAGAGCAAACTATAAGGTGTACCATCTTATCGGTTTAGAAAAATCGGAAAAAGATTTTGTTGTATCTGTTTTAGATTTTATATGTATAGTAATAAATAGACTGTAGATTTTTATGCAAATTCATATTTTTGAGAATATAATGAAAGAAATAGAATTTCGGTAAAGTGATTCTGTAATTTGATTGATATGGTTGTGTTCTAAAATAAGTTTATTTGGATCCATGGATCTCTTAGAAATTAAGTCAAAATGGTTGAACTTCCTGTGAGATAAATGAAAAGAAGCCAACTTCCGGCGGCGCTTCAATGTTTTTATTAGTGTTACAAAATTTAATGTACACAAATGTGAGGTTAAAAATCATAAATAAAAATTAAAGTTAAACAGTGATTGATAAAAATGAAAGAACCGTTCAAGGCGATTATTGATGATGTAATTATAGAACCATCCAAAGTTCAGCCAATCATTGGTAATTGCACTTTTATTCATTAAAAAGTATTTCGATATTTGAAACAACTCGTGTGTAAATTATTTTTTGAAAAATAATCGAATCGTGAAATTATACTACTCTTATAATCGTAATTGCCATTTGTTTTCATCGATTTAGTTCTAAATTACAAGTGATAAACAACTTGTTCGATTTGTCAATTTATAATTCATATATTACATGTATTCATTTTGAGAAAAACCTTTATAATTTTTTATAGTTAATTTTCAAAATGGAGAGCTCAAGGATGAGGAAGCCAAAAAAATGTCGTGTGGATTATTTTACGATCAAAACAAGAAGAAGACGATGCTGGCTATGTCAAATGGACAGATTGTTTATAGAGGCTATAAACCAGATACGAGCCAAGATTTGATGCGTAGTATGCTTGTTCTTCGTAACAGAAGGACAGGGAAGGTAAGATTGGTTCAGGTTGAACGTTGGCAAGTGACTCCAGTTTTGGAAAAACCTGCAGTAGAAGAAAATAAGGGTGCAGAAGATGAAAAGATCGCTAAGTTGAACAAACAGTTTGGTTCAAAGAAAGTGAAAAGGAGGATAGAGCAGTACGAAAGATTAAAAGTGAATGTAGAATCTGTTAAAGAACAACTTGAACAAACTGTATCTAGTAAGGAATTGTCTTTGCAAATGTTTTATGATATACGCATAATCTCGTGCTAATTTTGCTAAGAATAAAGTTAAAATTTATTTTCATCACAGATGTTGAAATTGACAGAATGGACTTGTCAATACAATTGCCAGATAATGAGTATATTACAAATACCACTTTACCAGAGTGTAATAGAGATGCAACTAGTGTAAATGATGTATATAATATTTTTGATATTGTACCAAAAAGTAAATTGGAATCTTTGTACGATAGTGTTACAGAAATTTTAAATGGCAATTCTAATAATAAACAAGAGTATGTTTATTTCGAAAAATTACTATCTTTCTTTATTATTGTATTGTATACTAATATATACATTTATTGTTATTATATGTCTTATTATTTATTATTATTAATTATTATTTATTATTATTTATTTATTATATTATTTGTCTTATTATATACTAATATATACTAATATATACATTATTTTTCAGAAATTCAAAATTTTTCACTCGGACATTATATCATGTGAAATCTGATCCAGATAATCTTAAAAAGGCTGCGCTGTTGATTTATGTTCAATCAGTTGCAGCCTGGTTAAATATGCCAATCAAGGATGCTAAAAAACGTGGTATTGAAGTTTGTTCAGCTTCTCAAGAAATTAATTCGCATATAATAGACACGTACAGTGTTCAGAGCAAACATGGGAGGTATGTGCAACAGACATATAATAATCACATAACAAAAATGTTTAGTAATTCAATCATTAATTTTTAATATTTTATAGAATGAGGCCAACCAGTGTAAAAGATAAGGGAGTAATACATTGTATGATCTTAGCACTGATAATTAACAACTTTACATTAGATTTGGAATTATTTGCAACCATATTCAGTCATCGTATAGGTCTAAAAAAAATGACAGACCTTGCTAGAATTGTTGGTGCTTTACCTAACAAAGAGAACAAGAAACTTATTACTCTAAAAGTTCCATTGCCAGCAGCAGTGTCTGTTGTAAAAAAGGGAAAAAGGAAATAGTTATACACGGGTACAAATTTTCTATAGCTATTTTATAAATGGATTAAATTTCATATTTGTTAACTTTGTATAAATCGGAACCGAATTTATATTTAATTGAATAAACATTCGTTTATTATAGTTCGACCATTCTTACTATTTTAATGCTTCAAACTTTCCATGTTACAGCTTTTCCACTCTTCCAAAATATTTCCATAACTCCTGCAAAAATACGAATTCCAATGTCAATAATCAACATGAATTACCAAAATTCGAAAAAAGAATGCAGATCAATAATTTTAGCGATCAAATGACGAACGGCGTAAAAAGCAAGAAAGTTCCTAAGTTGAAAAAGGAGGATGAAGAAAGATGTAGAAAGATAATTACATTCGAATAAACGATAGGCATTTTAGAGAAGAAGGAAGTAGAGGAAGGATTTAAATTGATGATTAAACGATTTTGATATGATCCTAGAAGATCTAGCTTGCATTAACGGAGGGTAAGGTCGAAGAAACTGGCACGTTGGCCGGCCCTGAGCAACTCCCAGTAATGTGGGTCGTCGTCTAACTGTTCCACGTACCGTTCCGTCGACTCTGTGCCGTCCATTAGTCAGATTCAACTACTCCTTCTCTTTCTTACTTCCACCACCCGATAGCCGTACACACACGGTGGAGCATCTCACCTCTTCTCTTCCTTCCTCATTTTATCGACACCTACCACGTACCGAGGAATCTTTCTACAATCGATACACACTGAGAAAACCTTAGAAAGTTTGTCCCTGTTCTACCGAGCGTGTTACATTTTTTGATGAAAACAAGAATCGGATTTTTTGTTCCGTATGTAGCATCAACATTGGTGCATCTTTGACCTATATGTTATTTAGATATGATAAACTACATAAAATTATTTTTAAGAAAATGAATTATAATTTTATATAAAATAAATCATAGTGCATCTTTAAAAAATTAATTTTAGTAGCTACTCAGTAATTATTATTATTAGAATATTATTAGAATTTCATGAAGTTTATAAACAAATACCAAAACAACAACAAAAACGCAAGAATCATACATCAGAATTTTAAAAAAGGGTAATCTAATAAAATATGAAAGGTTTATGATAATATTTCTGAAAATCGAAATCACTTCAATTCAATGATCTTTATATTTGGTGATACTTTCATTCCGACAGGAGAATCTTCCGGGATTATCTTTTTCCTTCTCTGGACTTTCGTCTTGCTCTTGTACAACATTTTGCCCACGTTCCTCTGAAGTTCCACCTCTTCGCCTTACCGCCACTACTTCAGCCGTCTTCCTGCTATCACCTGGTTGCCGAGGTACCTCAGTCGACGTTTGACCCTCTACCAGGGCTGCAAGTTTTCATGGTTTCGTCGCACGTTCTATTCACCTTCGTCGTGTCCGCGTTTTACGATTGCTTTTCTTGTGACCAAAAGACCGAGAGTGACAGGTTCAACGGTAATTAGAATTGAAGTACATGGAGTTTTAAGTGCTTAAAAATACTGAAGGTCGTTCTGAGACCACTGGGGTGCATCTGCATTCATCTCATCATTGCATCCAGGTATTTTTTTCTATGATGTATTGCTTTCCTTTTAACTACAAAAATTCATTAATAGAAATTATACTTAAAAAGAAAAAGAATACTTTTTGTGCTGAATATTTTTCTATTGTTTTACCTTTGTTATCTTTTTATTTTAAAACTAGTTTCTTTTTTAAAATATGTTTATTTAATTAATGCTTCTTGTAACAGATAAATTGTATAATCAAGTAATGAAAAATTGCAATAATGCAATTATTGTTGAACAATAATATTTAATTTTTCTTAATGAAACTACAAGTTTTTCTACAGATTATTCATTAAATTAAAAAAACAATTAAATTAAGTTATTAAATTAAGTAGATGAAAACGGAGTATTATAATATTTCGTTACAAATTTCACGTATCCAGCGTACAATTAGAATATATATATATATATATTCTGTAATCATGATACCGTTATAATTAGGCCGAGTTTACGCTGTATTAAACGTTCCATGGAGGAGCATAAATGCACGTGATAAGAACCACGTTGAAACGCGTTAAAAATTGAGTTTGAAACCGGTTACTGTCATTGCGTTTGCAAACGATTCGTTTAAAAACGAAGAAAACCTCGACTACACGATGATCTATTTATAATGTTGTCTTCCGTACGTATAATTCAATTGATGATCAAGGTATAATTAAGTAAGATTAAATTAAATGAAGATTAAATTAATAAAAGAAAAAATGAAAGATTCATTAATGATAAGAAGAGAAAAACAGTAAAGGTAATAAAGAAAATCCTGTATTGTTGAAGACTTCGTTATGGCCTTAACAGCCGTGTCAAACAAGATCATACGAGATGAAAAAGAAAAGTTGGGAACAAATTTTTTATCAAATATTTTATTATCTTTTCAATCGAAAACTTATGATAACAATAATAATATTCACATACACAAAACAAAAGAAGATGATTACAAGAAATATATAAAAATTAAGGAGTCCATATAAATAGGTGAAAACATAGAAGTTCATATAAATCATCTAGAAAACAAGCTAAATTTAAGGAGAAATTCTTAAATAAAAAAATAATGATACAACTATGATAAAAGTTCTAATTGTTAAGATAAGAATAGATTTTCGGTTTTTATGTATTTATGAGAGTGTATAGAATAATATAATATACAAAAATATATAAAATACCCAAAGTATAGTACTTACTATAACATTTAATAAGTAAAACAGTTACCAACATCTAAATTTCATCTTTACAATTATATATATATATATATATGAATTTGCATAGATATCGGCAGTCCGCTGATACAAATGTGCCTACAATCCTGCAATATACCGTGAACAGAAAAAGGGTCAACAAAAAAGTCTTTACTAAAATAATTGATCGGAGACCATTGAACGAAGTCAATAATCACATTCATCGAGATCACAATGAACCATTGATAGAAGTACGATAAAGGAGAAAGAGGTCGAGGAGGAATGGCAACGATGAATATTATTACGGTTCCCTCCGGTGTCGTTGCTCATGGAAAAGCTGATGATTCACGAACCTGATGTAGCCGAAACAACTCTGAGGACTGAAACCCCAAAAACAAGCCGGTTAAAGTGGGTCATCCCGATGAACAGTACACACGTTTCTGTTTCGTGTACCAGTCACCGAGTTAGGAGGCGGTCACGGTCACGAACAAGCTAAAGACGAATATTATGACCACCGAGAGACCTTGGACGATGATCTCACAGGCAACAATAGATTGTTTCAGGTTGTGTTACGATCTATCAACTAGGTGGCGATCAATCAGGTTGCAACTGTTCGGCGAGGTCGCGAACCTTGAACGATATTAACGTTTAAGACGAAGGTAGATTAAAGATGTCTATTAAGCTTATGTTTAGTAGGTTTATTTGAACTTTTTGGTACAAACGAAAGAGCATGAACTGTAAATAACGGAGTTTAAACTTAGGCGAATGCGTGATAAATCTGTTGTCTCTTAAAGTGCCTGGTGCTTATGTTCTGTCAGTCTAGGGGATGTGTTTTAGTCAACGTTTCCTATGACGTGGAAATCTGTTTCTGTCCAATCCTGTAACTGCCTGGCTGTCATGGACGTCCATGATATCAGCATACATGGTCGAGGGTGCGTAGCGTAACGTCCAGTTGATGCCATCGTCCTTTGCCTATTGTCGAGTTTTATCGGGTGTCGAGGTTTATGCCACGTCTTTTAGTGTTGAGAAGACCCGTCGAGTGCTTAGGATGCCAATTAACCTCTCGACGCGGTCCCAGTTGTAAACCTTATAATATGTAGCGTGGCAAATTCCGATTTCCCCCAAAATAGCAGATGTGCCATCTATACTGCAAACTGAGGACCACCTCAAAACCCTGAACAGATTGTTAAACCTATTGGAGTTCCATGCTTTTATCTACCCACATTAATAAAGATGACGGTTCATTTGCTTCCGACTCTTCCTGCTCTACTTTATTAACACCACAAAGTAATTCTAATTATAAAAGAATATTATTTAATCTCTTTCATGCCGATGCTTCTTAAAGGGTTTGTAAGTTTTAATTATAGTTTATTCCTTAGAAAATGGAATTTTATAATGGAGACTTATAATTTTTTATGATTGATCAATTTATGGTTCATGAGAAGATTTATAACAGGGATGGTACAAAAATAGAAGTACGGTGAAAATAATATATGGAGTATCTAGGAAATGACAAAAAGTGATTTTTAATCACTTTCAGTATTTCCTTACAAATTTAAGTTTTCTATAGAAGATTGTCACTGAAGTAGAGAAAAGAAGATATGTTATTTAATTCCAAAGAAGTGCCATAATTTTCATCAGTAATCTGTCGTTTAATAAATCTACAAATAAAAAAATAATTAAGTAAAAAATACAAGAACAAATGATAAAGTAAAAATATTTAATCATCGTATTATAATTAATATTGATACTACTATAAAATATTTAGTCACAAATGTTCTTCAAAAAAGATGTTCCTGATGGGTCGGCGGATGTTCCTCGAGGCACCAGTTCCGTTTCGTCTGTGACAACGAAAGCTTGCTCGAAAGTGCGAGTAACAAAATGCTAATGCCAAATACAGCAATCGAGATTGTGGCACAACCTCGACAAAAGCTGCTGGAATGCTACGGGAAGAGCACGAGAAAGAGGAAAAGAGAGAGAGGACGAGAGAACCCGTTACGCGTAGGAACGCGATTCCGCTTGATGAAAGATGTAGCAACCTGTTCCTGTTTATCATTCTATTGTGCTGATGATTTTCTTCGCGGTCAGAGGATCCGTTAATTAGTGGCCAGTATCTCAATGTATCGTCGACGATAAACGACTTTGATTTTCATTTTGCAAATAATTCCTGGCAGTATCGTCCTAAATTTCCGGGTCTGACTCGTGGACCCTTCCTTGACGATTACTGTAAATTACAAATTATTATCAATCGCTCTGAAGTGAATTATCGAATTATTTAATTAAAAATACGTCACGTAGATGCAAGAAGAAAAGTTGAATTTCTTTCTGGCAATTGTGAGAATGATTCGTATTTCGAGATTTTAAATGGATTAAAATTTATCACCTAATGAAAAAGAAATAATTCTAAGTTGAAGATTGTAGATGTAGGTATATGCAACTGAACGGTTAATTAATTAATTTGCATTTGTTCGCATTGTTCTTGTTTGGCGAAGGTGATGCAGACATCGGTGACGCGTTTACAGTAATTTCGGTGATGGTATGACGCGACAAATCCGGTGGGCGTATCATGAACTGTACGTGTATCCCGCATGCACGTTTCACTACCGTGTCCAGATATATTAAATGTAGGACACAAGGGACGGAACTGTTTTCCGGCCTTTTACCTTACCATCCGTCATACTGACAGTTCAGAAAACTAGCAAGCATCGTGGATAATTCGAAGTTTCATAAATATGTATAATAATGAAGTACTAGAAAAACAGAAACCGAGCATGTCTTTAAACGCTTACAACATTCATTTCTCTAATTTGTATAAGAAAATGTAGAATTTCAATTTACGTAATTGGATCTTTAGAAATACTATGTATAGAATATGAAGTCTAATTTGATGCTCTAACTTTCTACAAGTATAATGATATTTTCATTAATAATAGCCATAAGACTGCTATAAATAAGAATCGTAGAGCCATAATATATAAATACGTGTATTATATTAATAAATACTATATGTAAATACTAAATATAAATAAGAGAAGCAAGCCGTGACCAACTTTTACCTATCGCACGTATTCTATAATTAAAGTTAATAAAAATGTATAAAAAAATATTTTCACATAGAACTAAAATCCTTTATTTTATTACCAATGTGACACGCTTTCAGATATGCGAAGAACAATGCGATTCGATCCATGGATACTAATGGTCACATTGGCCTGCGTGACGGGCACCTTGTCGGAGTATTTGATGGGAGGCCATATGGACAACAGTCCGCCAAAGTCCTTACTGGAGGAGATGGAATCTTCTCCGAGTTTGGCAAGGACGGCGCAGCTGGATGACCTTGACCTGGATCTTGATGCAGAGGAGAGCACCGCTGCGCTGTCGATGTCGGACGACGAAGAAGCGCCGCGTTATCATCTTCCGTATCCTTTCGCCTTCAACGGTGGCAGACCGTTTTCGCTCGAGAAGGATCCTATCACCGGTAAAATTGACTTCGAGAAGGCGCCGCCAGTCAAAGCCCTCAACTTCAGCACTCGTTATCAAGAAAACGTAAACGAAGACGAAAAGGTGAACAACAAGGACTCAGCGAAGGAGAATGAATCTTATTTAACGAAAAAGAAGATCGAAAACAACAAAGAGACCGATGATGTTAGTCCAAACGAGATTAATCCTTATTCGCCTAATTTTCATGATTTTCTTAATCTTCCTGTTCATTATTCTTCCGACAAGTATGGCAAGGACAAATATCCATTGATATCAAGTTCCTATGCGAATACAAAAGTTCAGAGTGGATCAAATAGTTATAGTACTTATAATCACAAGCCTTATCATGGAGAAACTGTAATGTATTATCCTACCAGAAAACCGTATATGCCTAAGACAACTTCGACTACAACAATGAGAACGACTCCTAAACCAACCCCGTCGACTACATCCAGAGCTATCACCACTTCTACGACTTCTAGACCCACGACAACTTCGACGACGACGACGACGACGATGACGACGACTAGTACTACTACTTCTACTACGACACCTAGTCCTCCACCATCTACTACTGTTTCCACTTCGACGAAAGCACCTGTCGTAACAACCTGGAAGCCTCCTGCCTCCACTCCCAAACGATTTACCGATCATCTGGACGATTACGATGATATTCTTCCAATAGAGAAGCTTCAATCCTCTGTGTACAGTAATGGTCATCAAGGACCAAATAATATAGTGCAGCACAATCGAGATTCTCAGACGATGCCTCCTATAAACCACGAAGAGTATATAGATAGTTACGAGGATTATGAAATTGGAGATGGAGAAGATGCGAAGGATTATGTCTCGATGAAAGAGACGACCAATGAAATTGTAAAAGCTAGTACAGTGCCTAGCACAACGTCGACTGTTCATAATATAACCACAGCTGTTGGAACTCCAGAGACCACTCCCGTAACCACTACGACAACAAGTACGCCAGTTCCATCATCGTCTGCAATATATTCTTCACCAGTGTCTCAAGAAAGTATCTTCCACAGTAACTCGCTACCGTTCCAAGCTCTTCCTTCGCGTCTAGTAACATCTATGCCCTTGGACAACGAACACAGAATGCCACCAGCGTTTGAAAAAGATAATCGAAAACATGGTATTGCGGATAATATTATCATGAACCAGGGATATCGTCCAAACGCAGTTATTAATCAGAGACCAACTGGATTAGGTGGAGGAATTCTGGTAGAGAGCACTAGCAATATAGTGATACCACCTGATCAGGATACAGTATCCTTTGTCCTTGGTAACAGACAGAACGTCGAAGGTGGATATTATTCACTAGGCACTGCAATTGGAGAGAATCCTTATGGCAGTTCCACTGGAATTGATGCTTCTTTCCGACCTTTATATGGTGTTTCACCAGACAAAAGTAATTACGATCCACAATCAGATTACCGAGGAACAATTGGCCTGCCTTCAGTATCCGTACTGGAGAATAATCCTGCTTATGCTGCTCAAACATGGAGACAACCTAATCCTACTGGAACTCAGAAGCTGGCAAACGAGATAGAACCTTCTAGAACACAGAATTCATTCGTAAAAGGCACAGTGCTTATGGAACAGCCAGAAGATAAGAAGGATGATAAGGACGTTAACTACGTGGTCTTTCCTAAAGATGAACCTAAACAACCAGTTGAGGAACACATCGTTGTTATAAACGAAGCTGATGGCACTGTGCATGAAATAACACCTTCTTCCACAACGTTGAAACCTGTAAGAGTGGATCCTCCAGTTTTAAATGAAGATCACCTGCCACAACTTTCGGAGAACTTGACTCCGCCGGCTGAACGACCAAAGTCGCCACCACAGTTCTATTATCATTATCATCACGGAGGTACGATAAGACCGGATCATCCAAGACCTCAAAGATTGCCTTTACCACCTCGTGGGAAACAACCACCGTCTCCTCCCCTTCCACCACCACCTCCTCCTTCAGAACCTATGGGAATAAGAAGACGTCCTTATCCTCCCGATTCTACTTTGCCAAACATTCTACCACAATTCCGTCCAAATGCTAAAACGTCTCATGGACACCGTGGATCAGAGGCGATTGGAACGATTCCAGCTGGTCAAGGCTATCCCACCAGAGTGAGACAGCCTGTTCAGTCTCATCCTCCAACCAGAAGACCTCTACCACCTCCACCTCCATCTTATCTTCAGAGATTAAACCCTCCTCCTCCTCCAATTCATGCCGTTAGGCTTGCTGGCGCAGCTTCCGCGAAGGCTGAGAACATAGTGCCTCCTCGAGACGTGGAGTCCACGGTCAAGAGGTTTCGCCTTCCATCGATACCAGCCACCTCCAGAGGGGAGGACGATGTTAAACTAGCGCACCGTGTGCCCAATCAGAAATTGCGGTTGGAAGAGGAAGAACGGGCAGAACGTTACTCGGAGGAACCGCCTCAGGTGCCGCCAAGACCTCCCTTATTTCCTAAACGAAGAACTGCTGATCCGCCACACGTAGCTACTCTTCAGATGATCCAACAACATGGCGAATTCGCGGAGGATATTACAGAAGCAAATTTGTCCTCTATGGATGAAAATACAAATGACGAGTCAGATAGAATAGTAACTGAGCAGAATGCAGATAGAAGAAAGTTTGACAGCCATGAACCAATAGCTGAGCCACCGGTTTACGTAGTCTATCCTGTGAATACTGCTGTGAATATTCATCCTGACGATTCTAGAGAGAAAGATGAGAGCGTAGTTGTTGGAACGAGAGGACCACATAGACCCCTTCCTCCAGAAACATTGCTTCAGGATAATGAGGATCAAGAAATGGATGAAGAGCCAAGACCTTCTGTTCATAACGTCTTTAATGGACGGCCACTTGCCTCAGACTTTCCGTATCCTCTGGAACGTCCTGACCCTTCCATTCTTGTCAATGGAATGAGAGAAACGCCATTATTGGTGCCCAGCGATCAGCGACAAGAAGAAGATTCTATACAAGAAAATACAGAAGAGAAGGACGAAAAAGATTCCAGCGTGAACGTTATACCATACTTACAGGATTTCGTACCTTTCCCAGCAAGGAAGAATGAGGTTATCTCAGCTACCCTTCATCGTTTGCCAGCCTTGCCATCTTCTACGCCAATTGCTTATGTTTATACTCCAACAGCTCAAGCTTCTCATCGTTTAGACATAGATATGCGTGATGAGGACAAATCTAAAACTGAAAATAGTGATCAGAAGCCCATTCTGTTGCCTTCACAGCAACCCTCTAGTTCCTCCAGCTCTGCGCCGTCTCCACAGAACTTCATGGCGCCGTTTGTAGCAAGTATCAGTGCAGAAACACCTTCAAAGAACGGCTGGAGCGTTGTCGTGGTTGAACCTACCATTAGTAGAAAATCGGATGACGATTCTTCCGAGACCACTTCGAATGCAGAAGAGTCTCAGACAGAAAAAACTGAATTCGATGCTGAGAACTTCAAACCACAGCTCTTCGGCGGATTCAAACCGATTTACGAATTTCCTACGCAGAACGAAGACCGATCAGAGCGTAAAGAATCCAGCGAGTTGGAAACAGAAGTGAGCACGCATTTTCAAGAGTCTGCCAATTCGACAGTTTGATGAAAGCATATGTTTATCGTGTAGAAATATTAATTGAGCGAAAATAAGCTTCGTTTCGAGTATTTCGTTAATTACTATTACGCTCCTCTTGGCATTGCTGTCTTTCTCCAGAATGAAAGATTCGGACCAATCTTAGTTGAGTTATTGGAGTAATGCTGATTGGAACACTTGCTTTGAAAAGGGAACTAAAGATCTCGAAACTATGTGCACTGGTGACTGGGACAATTCATTGTCTTCATGGGGAGTTAAACTATACAAGTCTGAATATTCACATGATCTTTGATAATTTTGGATCATTGAATTCGATGAGAAGGGTTGGATGCAATGGGGTGCAAGCGATACAGTCAGAGTTAAATACTAACAGTTTAGTAACAATCTTAACTACTTCATGTAATGCAACATGTTAGAAACCATCTTGTAGTAAAGAACAAAATTTTATTATATGTATTTGCACCGCTTTGCATGTAATCCTCTTGATTACAATGACTACAAGGAATCATCTACAATATTTATTTTATTAAGAAATTACTATATTTATATTAATTTATCTATTTTATTTATAGACTATATAGTAATTTTATAAAATTCTATTGTGTTAAATTGTAGAAACCATCATATTTTGTACATCTACTTCATACATTATCATAGTCAGTCTGAATCTATCTAACGAGTCAATCTGAAGAATGTATACTACATTACTTATTTTCTACTTTCTCATTGATGATCGCAATTATATACTAAGCAATTAATATAATAAATTATTCCTAAATTATTTATTGCATACTTCGTTTATTTATATTAATGCCCTCCTAAATGCTTCATACTTTGTACAATGTGTTTAATACAAAAAACAAATGCTCTCTGGCTATATACTATCAATTTTACAATAACAATAATACTGTGGCGCTTCAAACAAATATAAATTATTAATTTCTAAGGAAGACTAAGAATTGACATGATCGGATGAACTTTATACAACATGGAAAGCAATATAAGTACTCGCTTTCTTATAAACTAATATCAGAATATCAATTCCATTGCAAAGAATGTATATATCATAAACTTTCTTAAAATACAATAAAATAAATATACAATAAAATATTAATTGTTTTGTGCCCTTATTGATCACTTATAATTACCAAACTACAATTACCAATTACATTAAGGCAAGAATTT